AGTTTCCATGTATATTTTGTATCCTTAAATATCTTGTAACATTATATAAAGAAGAGGAATACACATGAAAAATTCATTCCGCAAAATTGGCATGGTATCAAAGCCAAAAAATTACTTACATCAGCGTGTGAAATACGATTTTGGCTCTTTGTTCATAGTATTTCGTGGTCGGCGTCTCAAGCAATCATCCGACATGCTACAATCATCCTCTGTTCATAGTAATCTCCGATTGAAACTCGCATCTCAAGCAACATTGGCGTTTGGTTCTCTGTCCTCCTCTTCGACGTTCTTTACGTGTGTATTGGGGGATAGAATTTTCTGGGTTATTGCCGCCCCTGTGTAGTCTTCGATTTCCGACAAGCCTCGTCGTTCAATTCTTGGTTGGAGTGTCTCAAGTTTCCCTTCGTCGTCGTCTCCATTTGATTGGGTCACTACGTGGATTGGGTTGTGTTATTTGGGCCGTGAGTATTCTATTTAGCCCAGCAGTGTTATTTGTTGGACTTAGGCTTCCTGTCTTGGCTATTTTTCTTTTTTTCACAATTTGGAAAAATTCGTTGGCCATGTGATTGAGGACCATTGCATTAGTTGGGCTAATTCTTTGTGATAAGCAGAATTTATTTGAGTTGAGATTAATTATCTACACAATATCATCATGTCAATTGAGAAGAACAGCTCTGTTTGCATTCCTTTTCCTGGCAAGAACTATTCTTCATGGGCATTTCATTTTCAGTTATTAATTAAAGGCAAAGGTGATCTATGAGGATATATTGACGAGGACTATTCCCCTCCCGATCAAGAAAAGGAAAGGGACCAAGTATCTTGCTTGGAAAACAAAGAATTCTCGACTTATGGCTTTGATCATTAGATCGGTTGATACTCAAATTAATCTCAAGACCTTATAAGTGATGTGCTATGTGGGAGTACTTGAAAAAGATTTACACTCAAAGCAACAATGCTCAGAGGCTTCAGTTGGAGTTTGAATTGGCAAATTTCACTCGGGACTCTCGGTTTATTGAAGAATATTATTCTAATTTTTCTAACATTTGGACAAAGCATACGGATATTATCTATGCTTCAGTTTCACCAACAGTTTGGAGGATGTCTAAGCTGTGGATGAAGTCACCAAAAGAGATCAAATTTCTCATGAAATTGCAAAGCGAATTTGAATCCATTCTAGCCTTATGAATCGTGAATCACTTCCGACTTTGGATGGTTGTTTGGGCGAGTTACTGAGAGAAGAGCATCGACTTATCACTCGTACCTCGTTGGAGCAACATCATAATCAAGTAGCAACACTTCTTGTTGCATATGCTGCTTAAGGAAAATTTAAAAATCGAGATATGTCTAGTATTTAGTGTTGCAGCAGTAAGGGGTTTGGTTATATGACTCTTCAGTGTCCAAGAAAAATATGTAATTATTGCAAGAAGTTTGGTCATGTCATTAAGGAGTGTCCTATACGTCTTTTACGCAAGACTGGACCAGGTTATGTTGCTGCGGCTACATTAGCATCAAGTTCTATTTCGCCAGTTGCTCCCACTTAAGTTCCAGCCTCTCACAATTCTACCCAACACTCTACCACTACTGAGATTATCCAACAAATGGTTATTTCTGCTTTGCCTGCATTAGGTGTTTCAGGTAAAACATCAACTGCTCCTTCTTGGTTACTGGACTCGGGTGCTTCTAATCATATGACTCATGATACTCAATTACTTAGTAACCTTAGACCATAGACTGGACATCTCCATATACATACTGCCGATGGTAATACTCTTCATATTACGGTCATGGGTGATGTATCGCCAGATTTACCTAATATTTTACTCTTATAGTTTATCAACTTATCTTATATCTATTGGTCAACTTGTTGATAACAATTGCACCGTATCTTTTTCTTCTTCTAGTTGTCTTGTCCAAGATCAGGTGTCCAAGAGGACAATCATGAGAGGCCTAAGGAGTGACGTCTCTTTCCTACTTCACCAAAGCACGTTCCATCTTTTTCTATTGTTTGTAATTCTGCTGCTTTCGATATTTTTTATTGGCATAAGATTTTGGGACACCCAAATTCTAATGTATTACATCATTTGTTAAACTCTAGTTAACTTGGTAATAAGAATTCTACTTCGGTTTCATCTATCTCACTTGATTGTGCCTCGTGTAAATTTGCTAAAATCAAGGTTTTATCGTTCCCTTCTTATAGTTCTCATGTTTCACATATTTTTGATATTATTCATAGTGATATATGGGGTTTAACACATGTAGTATCCCATGCTCATTATAAATACTTTCTTATATTTATTGATGACTATAGTCACTTCACATGGATTTACTTTCTTCACGCAAAGAGTGAGGTTTTATCTACCTTTTAGTCTTTCATTGCTCTCATTGACAACCAATTTTCCTTTTCCATCAAGATCTTACGATCTGATCCAGGAGGCAAATATATGTCTAATGCGTATCAATCTTTCTTACAAATACAAAAAAAAATTCCTACTTTTTAACCACACATCCTCCAATAAATCCCTTCCAAAACTCATTTTCCCAACCA